CCCGCCTGGATTACTCAAATGCACTCCTCGCCAGTTTCTCCAGCTCCACTATTCAAAAGATCAGCTCATTCAGAACTCTGCCGCCCGCATACTGACCCGGACCAAACTCCGTATCCACATCCCACCAGCTCTGGCCCAGGCTCCACTGGTTCCCCATCACCGAACGAATCGACCATGATCCTCACACTCGTGTTCAAATCCCTTCACATTCTGGCACCTCCCTACCTCTCCGACCCCCTCACTCCCCACCTCTCCAACCCCCTCACTTCCCAATCCACCACCCGGCACCTCTGCTCGACTGGCAACCGGCCTCCTGCTCGTCCCTCGCAACTTCCTCCACACCATCGGAGGTCACACTTTCAGCCACTAACCCCCAAAAATCTGGAACACTCTCCCTCAATCCCTCAGCCTTGTCCCCTCTCTCCTTTTTCAAGTCCTGCCTGAAAACCTTCCTCTTCGACCGTGCTCACAGCCACCTGTAATGCGCCCTCCCCCGACTCAGAGTCAGGCTCTGCCACTGTGTTCCTCAGGGCTCTATCCTTGGTCCCCTCCTCTGCAACATCTATATGCTCCCTCTTGGTGACATCATCCACAGACATGGGGTCAACTTCCACATATATGCGGATGACATCCAACTCTCTCTCTGCCTCCACCCTCAACTCCAGCACCACTGCTGTCCTGACAGAATATCTGTCAGACATCAAGTCCTGGATAAGAGCTAACTTTTTTCAGTTGAACGTCAACAAGACCGAGGCCTCTCCTGTTTGGCTCCTGCCAGCACCTCCTCACCTCAGGCGCTGAGAGCATTACCATCCATGATTGCACACTCCACCTTGCCAAGCCAGTCTGGAACCTTGGGAGTCTTGTTTGACCCTCAACTATCCTTTCTACCCCACATCTGCGCCATGACCCATTCTGCCTTCTCTCACCTCCGCAACGTCACCCGGCTCCGCCGTTGTCTCACACCGCAGGCCGCCGAAACCCTCACACACACTTTCATTACATTGACTACGCAAACTCACTGCTTGTCGGCCTCCCTAACTCCTCCCTCCACAGGCTGCAGACCATCCAGAACTCTGCAGCCCGTGACCTCTCTCACACTAGGCTCCGCGACCCTATCACCCCCATCCTCGCTTGACTCCACTGGATTCCCATCACACAGGGGATACAGTTCAAGATCCTGGTCCTCACCTTCAAAGCCCTCCATGGTCTTGCTCCCTCCTACCTCTCCGACCTCCTAAGCCCCTACCATCCTGTTCACTCAGTGGGCTCCGGCCTGCTTCACATCCCCTGCCTTGCATGCCCCACTATCGGCGGGCGGGTCTTCTGCCACTCTGCCTCCACCTTCTGGAACTCCATCCCGCAGTACCTCCGTCTCACCGCCTCCGTCGCCACCTTCAAAACCCTTCTCTGTGACCGTGTTTTCGATCTCCCTGCTTCCCCCCCACCCCGACCCTCAGCTCAGGTCCGTAACTCTGTCTGTCTAGCACCTTGGGACATCCTCCCGACATGAAAGGCACTATACAAGTGCAATATTGTTGTTGTGAAGAGCTCTGAAACTCTATCCTACGTGGAAGTCATTATATAACCTACAAAATGCAATCGCTGCACTTTATAGTAAGTCTCATTAAGCGCTTTGAGACATCCTCCTGACACGATAAAACGATAAATCAAATGCATAGATTATTATATGTGCAGTCTGGTTTGGATACTCTTGAGCATGGCGATGAGTTTCTGAATTTATCAGACACCCAGCTGACCAAATAAAAACGAACATTTTACACTTCTAGTCACTTCTAAAACAGTAAAAAGCAGTGAAAAGTCTACATAGAATCTAATTCCATGTCCCTGTTTTTTCTCCATATCCCTTAATATTATTACTTGCCAAATGCCTCTTAAATTTATCATATAGTGAATTAGAGAAGCAACTAAGGCTTTACGTAAAGACTACACTGACGCCTGTAGCGTAATGACTAGCACAGTTGCCTCGCAAGCGAGGGGACCTGGGTACGATTCTCAGCTAGGTGAGTTTCCTCACGCGAGTTTCCTCACTCCACGCGCCTCAGTTTACCTAGCAGTAAGTAAGAACCCGGTTGTCAGTCGATTGGCGAATTGTTTTTCCAGGGTTAATAACCCTTCAAAAAAATAATAACTTGACCCCTCAATCCACGACTGTTTGCCAAACATTGCTGTGCGCAATAGGTTGCTGCGTTTCACCCCAAAATATAGGGTCAATTCACTTTATAATATATTCTGTGAAGCGTCTTGAGACGTCTCAAAGGCACTATATCAACTGCAAATATTATTATTTGTACTATTCATGTTTGTATATACTGACTGAGAAGCGACAGATTTAAATCCCCTTAAGCTGCTGAGGGTGTGGGAGGAAGAGAGAGGGTTGCAGGACAGAACCTCTACAGGAGTTCAAGAAAATTCTGACACAATTATCCTGAATTGCAGAATTTCCCTAACCTTCCCCCTCTTCTCCCCGACACCCTATCTCCACCATCACCAGAGCGTTCAACCACTGTGCCACTGCCTTCTGGAATTCTGCCCCCAAACACCTCTATCTCACGCCCACGCTCACCATCTTTACAGTGGAGTCCTGTAGAGTCCTGCTTAGAGCACTTGCCTTGCAAGCATGAGGACCTGGGTCCAATTCTTGGGCGGGGTGAAACTTAAGCACGTTTTCTTACTCTACACGACTCTGTTACCTAGCAGTAAGTTGGAACCCAGTTGTTAGTCGATTGGCAGATCACTTTCTGGGATGATAAAACTTCAAAAAATAATAAGACTTAATCCACGACTGTTCGTGGGACTGTTGTGTGCAATTGGCTGCTGTGTTTTTCCCACAAAATAGTTAAACCACTTTACAGTATATCCTGTGAAGCGCTTTTTGAGATGTCTCAACGACGTGATAAAGCGCTAAATCAAATACAAGGTTTAGTACCAACTATCTCTACAGCCCGCATCCTCTCCCGCACTACAACAACTTGGATTTATGGGCTCCGTGACCCTATCACCCCCATCCTCACCCAACTCCACGGGCTTTCCATCACACAGAGAATACAGTTCAAGATCCTGGTCCTCACCTTCAAAGCCCTCCATGCTCTTGCTCCTTCCTACCTCTGTGACTTCCTAAACCCCTACCATCCTGCTTGCTCTCTCCGCTCAGTGGGCTCCAGTCTGCTTCACGTCCACGCCTCGCTCACCCCACTATTGGCGGGCGGGCCTTCTGCCACTCTGCCCCCACCCTCTGGAACTCCATCCCGCTGTCCCTCCACCTCGCCCCCTCCCTTGCCATCTTCCAAGATCCATCTCAAGACCCTCCTCTTTGACCGTGCTTTCGATCTGCCTGCTCCCCTCCCACCTGCCCTGACCCCCAGCTCAGGTCCCTAAATCTCTGTCCAGTACCTTGGGACGGCTCCCGATGTGAAAGGCACTTTACAAATGTAATTTTGTTGTATTATTATTTATTGTATAACACTTAGAATTCCAACAAGTATTTGTCAAAGTACCACAGGAGATTCTTTGAACTGACATCACTGGATATGCTTGTGACTCAAAATTGACTACTGGCGAAGGTATCAGAGAGTACTCATTTGGGCAGCGAGCCTACAAGCTAAGTGGGATGCTTCAAGGGTTTATTCTGGGACCAATTCCTGTTCCATGGCTCTCGTACCTGGCTCCCGTCAGCACCTCCTCACTCAGATGATGACTGTATCGATATCTCCGGTCACTCACTCCAGCTCCTGCCAAGCCTCAGCGTTTAGTTTGACCATCAACATTCCTTCAAACCTTTCATCCCAGCACTAACCAAGGCAGCTACCCTACATCTCCGCAGAACTGCCCACCTCCACCACTACCTCATCCCCAAATCAACCGAGACCCTGACCCAAACTTGACTTTCTCACTGCCCGCCCCAACTTCACAATCTCTGGACCATCCAGACACTCCACAGTATGTCCTCACCCTGACCAGGCTTTGTGAGTTTATCTCCCCCCATTCCCACCCAGATCCCTGTCCTCCAGCAGATCAGCTTAGGTCCACACATTTGAATGCCTCAGAGCGTTTGACCCACGCTAACTGAGCAACAATTCCTCCGCCCCTCAATTCCCCCTTCCTTTCTCTCCCCCACCCCTCAACTCTCCCCTCTCACTACCCCCACCCAACTCCCCACCCTCTGTCCCCACCCAACTCACCCTCTCTCCCCCCCAACTCCCTCTCTCTCCCTCCCCCCCGCACTCCCCACCCTCTGCCCCACCCAACTCCCCACCCTCTGCCCCACCCAACTCACCCTCTCTCTCCCCCCAACTCCCTCTCTCTCCCTCCCCCCCGCACTCCCCACCCTCTGCCCCACCCAACTCACCCTCTCTCTCCCTCCCCTTCCTCACTCTCTCCCTTCGCTCTCTCTCAACACTCCCCCTTCACCCTCTCTGACTGTCTCCCATATATTCTTTGCGTGTGTCTCCCTCTCTCCCTATTTGCCCTCACACCGACTCTCTCTCTCTCTCCCCTCTCCCCCTCTTTCATCCCTTCTTTCCAACTCTCTCACCCCCTCTTTTTCTCTCTCACACCCCTCGCTGCCTTTTTTTCTCGCCCTTCCCCTTTTCTCTCTCACTCCCCCCCCCCCCACCCTCCCCCTCCCACCCTGGGGCCTCTGCTACTGCTTCACTGAGGCTGAAGCCGGAGGGGGGGGGGGGTGGGGGGTCGCGCTGAACTGGGGCTGAGACGAGAGGGGGTGTCCCTGAGGGTCACCTCAGCCCCCGGGTGGGTGGGTGGGTGGGAGGGGGGGAGAACGACGTCGACGACGACATTCCTCCCACTCCCCCCCCCCACAATAACAGGACATGTCTCGTACCCCCTCACCCCCCCCCCACCCACCCACAATAATTATAGCAATTAATAAACACACGTAATAAATAATAACAACCCCTCCCCCCCCCCACCCGCCCCACCACCTCGCACAGACGATAGCAATAATAATAACGGCCCCTCACCAGGGCAGCGAGCGGCTGTGCGTCTGGTTCCCGCTCCCGCCGCTCTCATCGGCTTCCAGCAGCTTCTGCCCCCCCCCCCCTCACTGACGCCGTGCGAGCGGGCGCTCGTGCGCTCGTGCGTGCGTCCCCGCCACGTCGAGCGTGCGTCCCGACGTCGAGCGTGCGTCCCTCCCCCTTCCTCTCCCGACGTCGAGCGTGCTCGACGTCGGGAGAGGAAGGGGGGGGGACGCACGCTCGACGTCGGGAGGGGGGGGCACGCACGCTCGACGTCAGGAGAGGAGGAGGGGGGGGCCTTCAATCAACTCTTTAACCCATCATGTGCAGTCCTGTAGCTCAGTGGTTAGAGCACTCGCTTTGCGAGCGAGAGACCTGAGTTCAATTCCAGGCAGAGGGCGAAACCTCGGGCAAGTTTCCTTACTCCACACAGAGCCTAATAATAATCCTCCAAAACCAAAACAATAATAAATTGGTCATTTTCAATCCACGACTGTTTGTGGGACATTGCTGTGCGCAATTGGCTGCCGCGTTCGCCCACAAATATACAGTCAATTCACTTTACAGTGGGTTCTGTGAAGCGCTTTGGGACGTCCTCCCGACGTGAAAAGCGCTATATCAAATGCAAGGATTATTATTATTATTATATCATTATCAACTAACACATTCCCTCCTTCGCCTTCCTTGCCCCTCACCCCTCCACCCTCACCCTCACCCTCACCGCCCCCCTCACCCCTCCCCTCACCCTCACCGCCCCCTCATCCTCACCGCCCCCTCACCCCTCCCCTCACCCTCACCGCCCCCCACACCCCTCCCCTCACCGCCCCCCTCACCCCTCCCCTCACCCTCACCGTCTCCTCACTCCCTCCCCTCACCCTCACCGCCCCCTCACCCTCACCGCCACCCTCACCCTCACCGCCCCCCTCACCCTCACCCTCACCGCCCCCCTCACCCCTCCCCTCACCCCCCCCCCCTCACCCTCACCCTCACCGCCCCCCTCACCCCTCACCACCCCCCTCACCCTCACCGCCCCCCTCACCCTCACCGCCCCCCTCACCCCTCCCCTCACCTTCACCGCCCCCCTCACCCTCACCCTCACCGCCCCCCTCACCCCTCCCCTCCCCTCACCCCCCCCTCACCCTCACCTCCCCCCTCACCCTCACCCTCACCGCCCCCCTCACCCTCACCGCCCCCCTCACCCCCTCCCCTCACCCTCACCGCCCCCTCACCCCCCCTCACCCTCACCGCCCCCCTCACCCCCCCCTCACCCTCACCGCCCCCGTCACCCCCCTCACCCTCACCGCCCCCCTCACCCTCACTGCCCCCTCACCCCTCCCCTCCTCAAAGCCTCTCCCTCCCGACGCGCCCCGGTTCTGGCGAGATGGGGGGAGGGGGCGGCGGCGGGGAGTGGGGGTGGGGGCCGTGGACTCGAAACGTTGACTCCCGTTCCTCGCTCCGTTGGACGCCGCCTGAGCTGCTGAGCAATTCCCGGCGCCGTCTGTGTTTTGTGGCCAGGATTATGATCCCTCTCCAAAAAAAAAGTTCCCAGGATTTTATTCGTGAAGTCCTGTTGACCCCCCCACCCGCCCGCCCTCGCACCCACCACCCTGTCCGCCCGCCCCCGCCACACTGTTTTTTCCTTCCGAAATAATTTTTATTTTCTCTGGCAGATGAGTCGGACGCGACAACAATGACAGTCGTTGCGTTTGGCGCCGGCGCCTGATCACGTCCTCGAGACGTCTCAAAGCGCTTCACAGGATACACTGTAAAGTGAATTGACCGTATGTATGTTGTGGCTGAAACGTGGCAGCCAATGGCGCGCACACAGCAGTCGTGGATTGAAGCGACCAATTTATTATTATTATTATTATTAACAACGTCTGACACTGGTAACTCCCAATGTGGCACTTGAACCTACAAAACTTTGACTCAGATGAGAGTGCTACCCGCTGAGACGGGCTGCCATACTAACTTTAATGACTATCCCAACTCCATTCCGCCGCTGCTCCCCGCTCCCACTTCCTCTGCGAATTAACCTGCCACAGCGCAACCTGATGGGATTAACTGTGTGCCGAAAGCTGTCAGACTCAGTGGGAGCTGGAGGTGAGCGATTAGTCCGAACAATCTCCAGTGTTGTAGGTGAGAGACCTGTTGGCTGGGTTTCTCCTTGATCTGCGGCTGCCGCCAGACACAACGTGATTCTAATCCACATTCAGCAGCTTCCCCAGGGGCCAAAGAGACTGGCTGATCAGACCACATTCACAATCTGGGAAAACTGGGACATGACGTTCCCAATTACGGTCTGTGACTTCACCCCCATCTCTGCCTCTCCCCTTTTTACTCGTACGCACAGTCCTGTAGTTTAGTGGTTAGAGCACGAGCCTCGCAAGGGAGAGGACCTGGGTTCCACATTGTATTTGACTGTTACATTTTAGCAGAAAAACAGTAACCAATACTAATAATAATCCTTGCATTTGATAAATTGCCTTATCACGTCTCAAAGCGCTTCACAAGAACACTTTAAAGTGTAGCGACTGTATATTTTGTGGGCGAAACGCAGAAACCAATTGCGCACAGCAGTGTCCCCAAAACAGTCGTGGATTGAGTGACCAATTTATGATAATCCTTGAATTTGGTACAGTACCTTTCACATCAGGTGTACGTCTCAAAGTGCTTTGCAGGATTCATTGTAAAGTGTAGTGACTGTGAGCAAGTGGGCTATCATACTTGTTGACAAACTACACAAACAGCGGGAAATGAGCAATTGATTGTATCTGGGGAATTGTCGGCCAGGACACTGGGAGAGAGAGAGAGAGAGAGAGAGGGAAACTGCTTTCTCTTTTCCTGACAGCGCCGCGGGATCTTTAACGTCCGCCTGAACAGGGCACGGAAGGGGAGTGAGGTTTAACGTCTCAGCTGAAGGACGGCATCTCTGACAACGGAGCGTCAGCCTGGCCTCTGAGCTCAGAGTGCTGACTAGCAATAATGATAAGTGTTTACAACAGGTAATTAGGAGTAAGAGGAAGGGTGTGGAAATGTGGAAAGACTGGCTCCTTGAACCCAATACAAAGTTCTTTCACTTTCAATTTCTGATTTTACTGAAACTTGTGTGAATTTCGTGCAGACTAACTTCAGGTGACCTCTTTCTGGAGGACAGGTAAGGACCCACGAGTTAGGGTCTGCCCCGGCTCTCTCTCTCACCGTCAGCATCTTGTGTTAAGGAAAGTGGTTAAGATCAGAGTTTGATATCTGCGAGCTCAGAAGCTTGTCAGCTGCTGGCAGTGTCTGATCTGTTCTGATTACAGAGAGTCTGACACAGAGACCTGACTGACTGATAGCAGCTCCGAGACTGCTCAGGAGAGACAGCAACAGTAACTGACAGGCTAGAGAGAGAGAGAGTTAGAGTGAGAGAGACAGCCAGAAATGAGAGAGAGAGAGGGTACAGAGTGAGAAAGACAGATAGAAAGGACAGAAAGAGCGAGGGGGGAGGAGAGAGTGAGAGAGTTAGGTAGAAAAAAAAGCGAGCAGGAGAGGATAGAGTCAGAGAGATAGGCATACGGGAGAGAGCGAGGGGCACAGAGTGAATGAAACAACAATAAATTGCATTTGTATAGCGCCTTTCACATCAGAAGGATTTCAGGAATCGGACTAGAAAACGTCACAGAGGACTGGCTTGATTCTGATATTGCGTTGTCAATCATGTCACCTTGGAGCCAGTTCAGCCCAAGGAGACCCTGCTTACCACCACCCCCCCACCCGGAGGATATTGTGAAGATCTTTGAGCTATTTACTTACTCAGTATGAGTGTGAGCTATTCTTGTAGTTATAACAATAATCCTTGCATTTGAAATCGCCCGATTACGCCTTCAAGACGTCTCATGAATTGACTGACCAAATTACTTTATTAATTTTTTTGATGGGATTATTACCCCTGGAAAAGTGATCCGTCAATCGACTAACAACCAGGTTCCTACTTACTACCAGTACTACTAATAATCCTTGCATTTGATATAGTGCATTATCACATCTTCGAGACATCCCAAAGGACTTCACAGAATATATTGTAAAGTGAACTGACTATATTTTGTAGGTGAATCATTTGTTTTGTTTACTACTAGGTAAACAGAGGTGTGCGGAGCAAGGAAACTTGCCTAAGGTTTTGCCCCACCTAGGAATCCTCTCATTTGCGATATGAACGCTCTAACCACTAAGACTACAGAACAAGTTTGGGAATGATTGTTTACATCAACGGATGTGTCAGCTGTCACTCCCGATCCTGAGTCAGGAGGTTGTGGGTTCAAGCCCCACGTCGGGGACTCTGAGCTCATAGTCCAGGCTGACGCTCCAGTGCAGCACTAGGGGAGGGGATGGGGGGGGTGGGGGAGTGTTACAAGAACAACTTGTACTTATACAGTACCTCCATGCAGGGTAGGGTCTCAAAGCGCTTAACAGTGATTCCGAGGGGGACTGGGTGTAGATGGCCTTAAGCATGGCCAAAGAGGAAGGTTTTCAGGTGGGACTTGAAAAAGGGAGAGGGGGAAAGGCGGAGGAATTGAGGGAGAGTGATCCAGGTGCCAGAGAGTGAAGGGATTTGAACACGAGCGTGAGGAGCTTGAAGTCGATCCATTCGGTGATGGAGTCTGGGCCAGAGCTGGTGAGATGTGGGTACGGAGTTTGGTCCGGGTCAGTATGCGGGCGGCAGAGTTCTGAATGAGCTGATCTTTTGAATAGTGGAGCTGGGGAAACTGGCGAGGAGTGTGTTTGAGTAATCCAGGCGGGATGTGACAAATGCATGCACGAGGGTTTCGGCTGCATTTGGGGTAAGGTACGGTCGGAGGCTGGCAGTGTGGCGGAGGTGGAAGAAAGTGGTCCTGGTCAGGGACTGGATGTGGAGGAGGAAGGACAGCTGGGGGTCGAACTGGACGCCTAGATTGCGCACTGGTTCGGTGAGTGTGAGGGAGAACCCAGGGAGGTTGAAGAGTTCAGATCCACTGGAGTGAAGATGTTGACGGGAGCCAAGGAGTATGGCTTCCGTCTTGTCCACATTCAGATGCAGGAAGTTTACACTCATCCAGG